TWTTAWRYCWTYRWTKYAWTTTWTTTTTTTTTTTTCTAACATTTTCTTATATGATTCGTTTTCCTATTTTTGTTTTTTGTTTTTTTTTCTTGTTTGTTTTATTATTTTAATATTTTCTATTGAATTTTTATATTAAATTCATCTAATTGAGATTATCACGCGTCATATTTCTTCGAGAGTTTTATCCCTTAATAACCTAGCTTTTAATCCAAAGGGATGTAATTTGTTTCTTTTAACGTTCCTCTTACTTTCCAATTTCTTCCAAATTTCCTGTTCCATTTTTTCTTTCTTCAAACGTTGTTGTTCCTTCTTCCAAATATCCTACAAACAAAGAAACACATGAAATACTTTGACAATTTTATACTTTGACAAGGATTCAATGATACAAATACCTTGAAATCGTGACAGAAATTAAACCAAAGTGAAAAGAATTGATTAGGATCAGCCGTATCCAATGTTGCACCTTTAGGTACGAATTGATAAAATTGCATAACACTTTTAAATTTTTTCTTAGCTTTGATCAAAGCTTTATTCTCGTTTTCCAATTCTGTGGTTGCACTTGTAAAAAATGTATTCATGTTTTCTTTAAAAACATGAGCGTTAGGCGGATTAGATTCCATCACTGCGTCGTATTTTTTTTGACAAGCTAAAAATAAAATAAAAATAAATTGAAATAAAAGGAAACTATGTGAAAATGAATGTGCATCGTCGTACCTTTCAATTGATCGTCCAACCTTTGAAGTTCTTTGGTAATGTCTTCAAAATTGATCGTCGAAGCAGCTTTGATGTCAGCCGGCTCAGGTACAGGTAAAGGTAAAGGTTCGTCAAAATTACAATCCTTTTCCTGAGCCAATCTCGCTTTAACAATAAAATGTAACAAAGTAATACCGGGTACTTTAGATTTAACATCTTTCAATTTGTCAAGTATTTCCAAATGAAAACCATCTGCCTGTCCTCTCATCATGTTACCACCGTTCATATAATTTCCCAATGTTAATATCAATGCCATCACCTTTTTCAACGAATTAGAATTGTTCAGGTAATCACAAATCGTCTTTAAATTCGTCAATTTACTCGAAACTGATGATATGGCGTCCTGAAATTCCGATTGGAATACCAAACATGCCATTCTTTCACTGAAATGATCTATTCCTGCTAATCGTTTTAAAAATAATTCTGGACGATCCAATGGGACTTCAGGATTTGATTTTTCATGTTCTAATATCTCGTCCAATTCTTTTTGCGTTGCTCTCTACAAAAAAAAAAAAAAAACAAAGAAAAGTACATAAGATTTGGTTAGGAAAGACAATTTTCATTTTAAAAATGGTTACTAACCACTTCATAAATTTGTTGAAGAGATTCAAGACCAATCACGCTAGTGTCCAAATTGTAAACAGCATTTTCAACTTCAGTAAAATCAATATGCAAACTTTTTTCCAAAATCCCAACAGTTTTCGATCGTTTTGAATCCAAAATCTTAGCAGGTTGTATTTTTGATGGTTTCTTAACAACATTGTCTCCTTTTTTGGTAAGTTTACGTTCGGTTACTTGACGTGAGAATAAATTAGTAAATTCGGTGATATCTAAATCCTTTTCTTCTTCTAATTCCGCCCAAAAAGATGTCTATTCAAATTAATTTGAATAAATGAATGTGTAATAATTAGAAAGTAATCATTGAAGATTCAAATCATTGATTTACCGTAGATGATTTTCCTACACTGGGAGCAGCCATTGGTGCTATAATCCTTGTCCAATATAATGGTTTCATCGGTACAACAGGATTCAAAGGTTGTTTCCTCAATGCTGAAAAATAATATAGATAAATGGTTTTAAATATTTTCAATGTATCATTTATAAAATAATTTCTTATTACTTACTCGATCTGCTGGGAGGATTCCAGCCTCCAATAGGAGGAGCAGGTAAAGGAGTTGGAGTAGAAGCGAATGGTGGTGGAGGTGGTGGTGGTCCTGATGCATTTGAGCCAGGACCTGCTCCCGTGATCGAGGTAGAAAATAGAGGAGGTGGCGGTGGTGGTCCAGTCATACCTGGCATTGGTGGTGGTGGTGGCCCAACTATTCCAGGCATTGCTGGGGGTGGTGGTGGTGGTTGTGATCCAATTATTCCAGGCATTGGTGGAGGTGGTGGTCCGGATGATCCTGGCATTGGGGGTGGTGGTGGTGGCCCAAATGTTCCTGGCATTGGTGGAGGAAGTGGTGGAGGTGGTGGTCCAGCCATTCCTGGGATTGATGGAGGAAGTGGTGGAGGTGGTGGTGGTCCAGTCATTCCTGGCATTGGTGGTGGTGGAGGAGGAGGTGGTGCTGATATTGGTCCTGAAATTCCTGGCATTGGTGGTGGTGGTGGTGGTGGTGGTGGATGTGATGAAGATAATGAACTCTGTCCTGATAGCTCTGGCATTGGGGGTGGTAGGGGTGGTGGTACTTGTGATTGTTGTGAAAATTGTGCTTGTTCAGTACCTGGCATAGGAGGAGGTGGAGGAATGCACAAAGTTTGTAAATCCAACGATGATGGTGGTGATGGTAATGGTGGTGATATACACGATACTAATAATGCTGGAACTTGTCTCGATTCGGAATGAATAGTTGATTCGGTCACTATCGAAATTAACGGTGATTGCAATGGTGGGAGAGGAGGAGGAGGCGGTGGGGGAGGAGGTGGTGGGGGCGGAGTCGGGGTAGGAAAACATTTCTGCGAAATATCTTCTTCCACTTTTTTATCCACCAAATTCCTCATTTCGTCAATACTTTCATCAGAAATCTTTACTTCAGATATTTCGTTTACGATTTCTCCGTTCTCGGTTGGAAACAAATTATTATCTTGAATATTAATGTCTTCGTTAGTCGGTGAAAGTGATTTTTGAGTGGACATTTGAACCTTTGATTTTTCATCTTCCAATAACATACGTAAATTCCTTATTTCCGGTTCTTCTTTGGATTGAATCGATTTTTTGGACAAAATAGATTTGTTAGATAATATTGGTGAATTTTCGAGTGATACAACGGTAATTCTTTCACCATCGCTGATACTCGTAGCTTGCGATGCACTTTTGTAATCGTTTGATGAAGGTGAACTTGCACTTGTAACGCTACTTGGTGATACACTTTTGGGTGAAGTTTGTACACACTTGTCCTGTGCCATCGTTGTAACAGCATCCTTATTAATTTTTTTCAATCTTTCTATCTCTTTTCTCAATTCGATCAATTCCTTTTCCAATTGTTGTACGTTATCGTTGCTTGTTTTAGATTTTTTCAATGATTCCGTAAAATACGATGATGATGATGATGACTGTGACGTATTATTATCGAATTGATTTCGATAATTACTCAATGATACCTGAAGCAAATTTGTTATACCGTTAGTCGACGACATATTTGAATTGTTCCAATTATATTTCTAATCTTGAATAAAAGTGGAACGAATTATAATAAGAAAAGGTTAAATGTCACGATGACTAAGTTGCCAGATTACAAATCTCACATTGTCTTGAATTTGTTAACGATTCAAATCAAACAAATACAATCGACGATGAATCAAAAGTTTCATCATTTGACGTATCTGTTTGTCAGCTGTCAGGTGAGACATCTTATCTCAATGTTTTATTATTAATAATAATCTTATTTTAATATTGTTTAATACATTGATCCTTACCGTTTGTGGTATGTTACTTGTGCTATTATCTTTGTCTGTCAATGTTCGAAGTAAACCTGTCGATACCAAACGAGTATAAAATGCCAACTCGAGTTTTTCACGTTCTGCATCTGTCAATTGTGATTTTAAATGTTCTGGTAACTCCGACGTCAATACTTCTATCAAACGTAATCCTATAAAATGAAAATAAGAAAATACTTTTGATAAACTTGATAATGATAACAATGATTTTTTTTTTATATACTTAATTTTTGTATTTATTTATAAAAAAAAAGATATCTAGAAAGAAATATAATAGTTAAGAAAAAATTCTATATAAAACCGGTTATCACATTGTGCACGTGAACATAAGCTAGCAAAGCTTATCGTTTAGGTCTTCTTTCTCTTCTTTCTCTTTTTCTCTTATGAATTATTATCTTTGGTATTGTAAAATTCAAAAATGTCTTTTTTTTCTTCACGTAATTGTATTATCTTTTGAAACGTGAGAAATATATAAAGGTTTATTATGATTACTATTATTTCATTGAAATAAAATGAAAAGTGTGTCCTATATGAGAGTTTGTTTAATCAACATTACAAACCTAATCGTTCTTTTTTAAATTCAGACAAATCCAACGTTCTTGACATTAATATTCGTTGTCAGTTAAATGTCATTTACAAATGTGAAAAAATAAAATAAAAAATTAAATTAAAAAAATGGCGAGAGGCACAGCATTTTCTTGTCACTCAGCCAACTTGTCAACGTTAACAATAAAATATTCTGCAATGAAACTTATTTTTTTGTCTTGACAATTTTTTTTTTTTTGATATCACAACGACGGTTTTAACAATCGACCGAATTCTGATAGAAAACTAAAAAGAGGTTTTACACGCGAGAAATAATATCTTTGTGTGTTTGATGATGTCGTTGTTTCTTATCAGCGCAAACGCCTTTGATTTCCATTATCGTACAACACATTTTTAAAATGATTTACGCCTCTCGAATGTTCTTGTTTTTTCAATAAAAAATTCTTATTTTTTTTAAATTATACAAAAACAATAATTCTTTTCTGTTTTATTTCGATCATGTAAACAGGATTAACATAATAAACGATAAATTAAAAATAATTAAATATTTTGAGTATTTTATGTAAACTCATTCGTCAATAATAACTCATATACGAATTTTTTTATGCAAAAAATAAAAAAACTCATATGAATAACCTACCAATTCCCATACAAGGGTTGCACGATACTATGAACAAATTTATGGGAAAGAATATTCACAAAAAAACTTAATTAATTTAATTAATTTAAATATATATTAATATTATATTAAAATAAATAAATTAATTTAACGATAAATTAAGAATAATTAAATAATTTAAATATTTTATATAAACCCATTTATCAATACTAACCCATATACGAATTTTTTTATGCAAAAAATAAAAAAACCCATATGAACAACCTACTAATCCCCATACAAGGGTTGCGCGATACTACGAAGTGTTATGATACTCGAAAAAATGATGATATTAATTAATTTTGAATCATTTTTTTGTATTAAATTATATTAAACACATATTTTATTAATTAAAACTCACCTTCAAATTTACTATAAAGGCCATAATCGAGTTTACGTGGTATAACTTTGGAATTATCGTTGATTTTGGATTCAAGACTAGCACGATCCAAAACCAAATTAGCAACTCTTCGTAATACTTGACTTTCAGGTGAAGTTTCGTACATTGTGTGTCTTCTATGTGGTGTCTTTCTCATATCACTAATAGCAGGTGATGGTGAAATATCTGCAAACAAAATATAAATTATCATATAATTTAATGATATATTTGAAAATATGAAAATAAGATAATAATCGTACTTTCGCAAGGTAACAAAATAATGACTCGTCGAAAAAAAAACCGTCATTGAAAAGATAAAAAAAGTACAATATTATATATATATACATTTTTTTTTTAAAGTACTTTAAGATTAATCAAATATTTATGTCAGAGTTGCGATAAGAATGATATAAGGTAGCAAATAATCTATAATCTTAAACTTTCTTTTTCATTTCTTTGAAATCTAATCAAAAGTAAATAAATAAATTAATCGATATTCTTACTCAATTGAGATGGTGTAGGTGGTAATTGAATTTTTTTGTGCCTTAAAACAGAAAAAGGTGATCTTTTCTCGCTCAGATCATCCCTTAAGTTGATCGAAGCAATTAATGTATCGGTTGAAGATGGTGTTTTAGGAACACATTGAGTTTTCATGGATAATGGTACTTCTTCTGTATCGGTAAATAAACTGTCACTGGAAGATTCCTGACTGAGCGGTGCAGATATCTCGGCAACTAGCAAACCTTTATTGGCTAAACGCCAAGAGTCGGTGACCAACAAGGTAGATGAGGGATTCGTTAGATTAACAGGGGTTGTGTTAGCATCAATAATCGTTTCTTTCGTAATCGATGTTGTTCCATTGATAACAATAGACGTTCTATTAGGTGTTTCATCGATCATTTTATTCTCAACATCTTTACAAATAATATTTGATGATGATTCCTCACGACATTGTAATTTCAAATTTGATTTCTCATCAGGCGTTGTCTTAATGACCTAAAGAATACAATATTTTTTTAAAAATAGATTAATTAATTAAGTTAAATAAAAAAATAAATATTTGAACATTGTAACCAACCTTTTCGAAGGTTGTCGTCACCGGTGGTTTAGGTGCTTGTCTTTTAACAGGTGTTTGTAATTTTTCAATAGATGATTTAGAAAAATGTTGCGTGTTAATATTACTTTTACCGATTTCATAACTGGTAACATCTTCTAAACTTTTTGAACTTTTTTTAACATTAATTATCTCAGGAAATTCCGGATTGTCGATAGTAGGATACGTTACATTAGCATTGTCCTTTACCTTCTTAACTTTCTTTTTACCATCACTTTGTAAATTACCCATTAAATTACGGATAGTCGTTACCGAGGATGCTGCGTTTTCCCCGTATAATGATCTCAATGATTCTATCCAACGTCGAGAAAAGTCGCGCAGCTTCGGCGCCCAAGGCCGCGCCTGTTGTGCCGCGACTGCGTCCTCAGGTCGATGCATTTTTACCCCCGGGTACCTGCTTTGCTTCTCTTGTCCGCGTCCGGTCGATAATCAGACAATGAATTTCGAATTCCTCTTATTATTCTATTTTTCTGTGTTATTTTAAAACAATTATCTTTTTTTCTCTCTCGAAGAAAAAGAAGAAGAAAAACAGGAATTAACATAAACAAAATAAACGAATACAAACGAAAATAACAAAGAAGAGGATCACCATAAGTGGACTAATTATTTTTTTTTCATACTTGATCTTTAGATTTTTTTTATTATTATTATTATTATTTTTTTTTTTTAGTTATGTGTGTGAGAGAGAGAGGTAATTTTTTTATGTAAAAATCTAAGTGAAACAATAAGATCCTCTCTTTTGTTTCTTCTTTTTTTTTTATTTTCATCGATTTGGTGGTTGATTATCATCGGATATTGTCACTGGTACGTTGCACTGTGTATTCTTTCATTAACAACAACGATGTTTTATTATTTATTGATAAATTTGTTGATATTTTTATTAAACACATGATCAATTATTTGAATTATTAATTGTTTCTTTTTTTTCTTTGTTTTATACGAATTATCCGAATACATTTGAACAGATTTTCGAATAGTTTTTCACTGTTACATTTAATCAACTCATTTCGTTAGTATATTCTGACGCATTTTATATATCCTTCGAAGGATATGTAAATAAGAACGGTCATAGGAAATTTTGTCTAATTTGTTTGGTTTTGTTTTGTTTTCTTTCCTTTTGTTTTGTTTTCCTTTTCTTATCCTTTCAATATTGTGTCTTTTATTCCAATTTAATCAAAACGATTTACACACCATCATTGTAATTTAAAAACCTAATTTAATTATACGAATAATTATTGAATTTATATTTTGATATATATTTTTTAATTTTTTGTTTATATAAAAATAGTTAAAAACTCACCATTTACTTGATTACATTTTCTTCATTTTGACATCAACAACAAATCCAATTCCTGTACGTATGATTTGACCAATATTCCTGTTTCTTGATATATTCTATTTGTTAAATTATTATAGTATTACAAGGACACTACGATGAATCTGTCATTTCAATCGTTTATCCTCCTTCCGATTAATTACTTCGAATAATTTACTTCTTCCTTTTATTCGTACGCGTATGCAATTGATTTAACATACTTGTTCCGCACACACACACATACACTACACTTTCTATTATTATTCTTCGGTTGTTAGTATCGTAGGAAAAAATCGAAACACTATTCATTTTTTATAATACTAACAAACGCTGTACACGTGTACGAAACTATTGCACATTTCCAAGGGTTGTTTCTTTTTTTTTTTTTATTCAAGTAATCTCGTATTGTTTTATTCGTGATCGATTTAAAGGATTTAATTTTAATTTGAAAAAATCATAAGTATATTTTAACACATATTTCTCAATCATTTTTATTCTTCTTGTATATTTCATTTTGTTAATTTAATTTACACTGAACTTTTTTTTTTCTTTAATCGTTTATGTAATAAATTAATTTAATTTAGTTTAGGAAATATATTATTTTTTTCTTTTTACACAATCACTATTATTATGATTATTTTTTATTATTACGTAGTAGCACTTTTTAGATAATTATTAAATGTATTATATATTGATTTATATAATTATAAACATTAACATTTAATAAAAAACATGATATTTTATTCGATCCGCGCGAGACAGCACATATATACTTGTTCACGTCAGATTCACTACTGTCGTATCGCTGATAAATCTTACAGCGCATGCGCCTATAATCGAATATCGTATCTCGAGATTCGATTATTGCTAGTGATAAGCGGCAAAATTAAAATTCCAAATCCGATCATTACACGAAAAGATTCGAATAATAGAAATAATATTGTAATTAATAAATTAATATACAATTAAAACAAATTATTTTATTTCTATTAATAATATAATTATCTAGTTTAATCGATAAAATTCGATAGAGAATTAAAATAGAAAATATTATATCAATTGAGATATTATTGTAATTCGATTATCGTACGTGCGCTGTAGAAACAATATTCACCACTAGGTTGCGCATACGTTTGGTCACCTGATCAAATATGTCAACTCAACGGAAAGTGTACCGCGAATTGTTTTTTACCTTGTTTAAGTGGTGAGTTCCATTTGTTATATTAAAAAATAATTATTTTAATAATGATTAGATCATTTGAATATGTTTATTATCGATATTTTTAATCATCTAATTTATTTGTTCGCATTTATTTCAGTGATATTGATATGTGTAAAGTATAAATATATATGTATATACATCAATCAATAAACTAACCTTTTTAATTAGTATACACATATCATATCTAAATCAAAGGATGAGTAGATCAACAGATTGGGACGTAGAACAATATAAAACGGAGCACGAATGCGACGAGCATTGGGAATTAAGACGTAAATTTTTAATAACTCATAAGGATAAGTTTCCAGAAGACGAATTACTATGTTTAGCTCAAGTCTTTACCAATGTAGAGATTTTAGGTTGCAGGTATTATTCTGTTACTTTTTTCCTCTGATGTATAGATTTTAGATTGAAATATTTGATTATAATTAAAATTTTATAGATATCCTAAAGAAACTATGAATTTGATAGCAGAGTTAGCTCAAGATATTGTATGCGAATATAGGGAAAGAAAGAAAAATAAATTACAGAGAACATTTGTCAAAGCATCAGATGCTGCCCGTACTAAGGCACAAGGTACATCCAAAGTTCAAGGTACATCAACAATATTTTTATATTTTTATAATTTTATATTTTTTAAATATGTTAATATATTCATATATACAGAGTATTTCATAATATGTGAAATAATAATAAACAGATGAAACAGGAATGATGAGAAAAGGTCATACAAACATGTGCCATATTTTGTCTTATTTCAAAGTTCTAGTTATTTTTGTGTTTTGATAATATCCACAATAGCTTATCTTTAAAAAATGAATAACTTTGAAATTAGTCAAATAAAACACATGTTATGTATTCTGTATATATGCATAAACATTTTGTATGTATAATAATCTAATAGTTTACATTTATGTGATCAAATATAGCTTAAAGTTATAGGATTTAATAATCCATTATCAGGTAGTAGCACGGAGAAGATGGAGACAAGTACAAATGATTCGAGTTCAATTAAAAATAAAAACAAGACAGAAAACAAGACAGAAAACAAGATAGAAAACAAGGTAGAAAACAAAATAGAAAACAAGATAGAAAACAAGATAGAAAATGTACCTGCTAAAAAAAATAAACCGGACACGTCTCCGTTTGGAGATATGGTATTAGTCGAAAGACCTGGTGATTTACCACAAACTATACTTTCCTGTTCTGTCAATCTTACCGGTGGAAATATTCAATGGAAAATAAATAAAGCACATATGAACAAATGGCAAGTATATTAATTTGAAATAATTGATAATTAAATAAAAATTAGATTTGTTTTATTAATAATGTAAATTTATGTGTGTTATAGGCAATGCGTTATTTTAATTAATGATAAAGAAGTCACAGATTGTTTTGGTACAAATCCAAAACATGCCAAAAAAGAAGCATCGGTCAAAGCATTACAAGAATTACAAAAATATTATTATACTATCAAGGTAAATTTTGTTTTAATATTATATATCTATATTTCAATAATTCAATATAAAATATTCATCGATGTATTTATTTATAGGTTAAGAATAATTTTATTGAAGAATCTTGTGTGACGACAACGACAATGCTGCAGCAAAATACTACATCAACACCACAAGAATCCGTTTCTGATTCCATTTCTGATGACAACATTGGTAAGAAGTTAATGAGACTTATGGGTTGGACTGGAGGAGGACTTGGAAAATCTCAGCAAGGAATTATCGAGCCAGTTATGTAAGCACATAATTTTTATTACATTAAATTACTTTGATCAAAGACAAATATTTAAAAAAAAAAAATATACATTTATACAAATTTACAGTGTTAAACAACAAGTTAGTCGAGATGGTTTAGGATTGAAAGTTAAATCAACAAATCTACGCGAATTTGAATTTAAGTGTAGAGAAATATTGAAAAAATATCAATCGGGTGATTTAAAAACTGATTTAGTATTCTCTCCAGAATTCTCCAACGAAGAAAGAATGGTAATACACAAGTAAGTATTTAACATTTATTAAATGAATTCTTATGTTATTTATCTCAACATAAGAATTTTCTATAATTAAAAGAATCGATATTTAATAAATTATTCTTGCAGACTTGCACGACAAATGGGCCTAAAATCTCATAGTTATGGTTCGAAAGAGCAAAGAAAATTAGTCATATCTCGTAAAATTGATTTAAGGGATTTAGTTATCGAATTGGAAAGTATTGGTGGGAGCACAGACAAATACGAGCTTATAAAACCAAATTCCGTTTAGGACTAATATTATAAATATATATATATTACCTTTCGCACTACTACAACATGTGAGATTCGTGTCCAAACTTTGTCTCAAACGATAAGCATGGAATACAGCACTAACTTTGATATGCAAGTGTTAAATCATCGTGCAAGAAGTTAACAAGAGATTTTCCAGTCTTATAGAAGCAATATTAAATGACATTGATATACTTGTAGGTATATTACAATTATAAGTTTTAGCACAAAAAAGTAAAAAAAAAAAAAAAGGAAAAAAAAATACAAAAGACATAGCGTTCTCCTCCATATATCATCGAGTATTTAGATCGTTCATCGTTGTGTTGCATTTTCAGGAGCAGTAATCGTTAATATTTTTATAAAAGACTATTGTACAAAAGATGTCATATTTATATGTACGCATTAACATCATATATGTCATGATAATGCGACAATTATTTTGAATATATATATCTCTCCCTTTCTTTCATTAAAAAAAAAAAAAAAAGAAAAAAAAAGAAAAATTACTTCAACACAAAATAAATTTAGGAAATGAATTTAACGTGTAAATAATTCGTCTTACATATATACACATATACACACGCATATATATATATATACAGTATATATATTATATAGGGTGTCTTAGCTGAAGGAGATCATTTCAATATTTTCTTTATTTTTAATCATATGAAATGTGACATAATTATATTTCATTTTGTTCTTAGATATTTGTTTATAAATGTTACAACAAGAGTAAACTTTACTAATCGGTAAAAAACAAAGATCTATTATAATGCGTATAAGTAAAATCAATTATTTAATTTGCCTCTATAATAAGAAATGATAAGAACATTGATAAGGATAATGATTGATTAGAGATAGGAAATACAAATATGATATAATTTTTTTTACTAATTTGCTATATTTAGCATCATTTTCATTACATATGTCGTTCGTTGAAACATAAACAATCTCGTTGAATTAAATTCTGCTAATATCTATAAAAAAAAAAAAAAAAGAAAAAGAAAATGAAATAAACAAAAGTAATATTTACAAAAGTCAATGTTTAAACGCAAATATTAAATAATAAAATATTCTTGAAATTACAATTTATTATACAAATGATAACTTTCTATTTTAAAAGGAACTTTTATTTTCTTTTTTTTTTCTTTTTCTTATTACAAATATATTTTTAAACATTTATTATTATTAAAAACAAACAGAAATAATAGTTGATAAAAGTAAACAGCGATGCTCTTAAAGATTAAAATATTATTTATTACGTATTACGATTTTGTGTTATTGATACCCAAGAATTAATAATAATAAGAAGATAAAATAATATTAATAATAATAATAATAGTATAATAACAACAAAAGGATTAAATGAAAAATGACTTATCAATGAATTTGTAACAAATCGTGTCACGTTAATGTGCAATTAATGTGTCGGGTGTATGTGTAATAGAATTGTCAAACTGTCAAACTGAAGAAACGTTCACTTTATTATTCATTATACCCATTGCGCGTTAAAAATAATATTCATTAACATTGGTTGTATTATTATTATTAATGTGAATTATTTAAATGGAAGTACAAAAATGTTTTAAGAAGCAAAATCGCTTAGAAGTGTACGATAAATGCCCACAAATGCCGTAACAACAACAATAATAATAATAATAATAATTGTTATAAGAAAAAATTCTCTTTGGCAGTAGAAAGAAGTTTGAACAACAAAAAAGAATTTTTAAAAAATATAATTACATTTGTGCATCTTTTTTTTGTGTCTTTTCTTTGTTTATTTTTATTTTTTTTTTTTTTCTTTAAATCACACTCGAGACATGCATGATTGATGGATAACAATACATAATAAATAATAATAATAATAATAAAAAAGATAACCGTATTTGCAACTTTAGATTAGTTTTAAAAAATCGATTTACGAAACGACAAAGTTTTGAAGCTCGTATACGACATGTAGAGATAGAATTTTAATTCAAAGAAGCTAATAAAATTTCATAAATATTACATGCGTTTTCTCCCCCTCATCCCTTAACATCCCTCTTCGCATTAAACCCACCCCCTCTCCCCCTACTTTCACGTGTTTAAATTTACAAAGATAGAGATAGTTGTCGTTGTTCGTATTTTTTCTTTTTTTCTTGTTGTAAATCCAAATTAAATTACGCGCATTAGTTTTTAAAAATGCGAATAATTTAGTGTGCAATCTTTGAATAAGAAAAGTGAATTATAAAGAAGATAATACAATACAATTTTTTTTTCTTTTTTTTTTTGATTGCAAAGTTTAAATTGTTTATCTGTTTAATAGGTGTGCTATTCGCTTGTATAAGTGAGTGGGTTGAAAAGTTGGTTTTTTTTTTAAATCTAATTTAGAAAATATAAATGTTGGTTTAAATTGACTTTTATTTTGAAGAAGAAAAAAAAACAAACAAATGAAAGCTTTTTGTTTTATTATTAAACTGAAAAAATATTCAACCCACTCACGTATTTGATATTTATATATATACATATACATATAAATCAAAGCTTCCTACAAATTTTTGATTTTTTTGCAAACGTCGAGTTAATTACATTTACAATTAGATGAAATTAATATTTAAAATTAGATAAAAAAAAAGAAACAAAAAGTACGAAGAGTATATTTTTCATTTTTGATTGAATTTTTGATCGATTTAATCGCGTGCAATTAATAAAAATTTATTACCAAAAAAAAACGAAAAACAAATGATAACATTTCGACTGTTCGTTTTTTTGATTTTTGATTTTTGATTTTGAAAGGGACACACATATCAACTTATCAAATTAATTTCATCAGTCAAAATTCAAATATGAATATATATATATATATATATATATATATATATTNATATATATATATATATATATATATATATATATATTCCGAGGGGGATGAAATATGTTTGTTAATCTTTTTGTTTTAAACAGTTTGTCGTTAGATAGCATTTTCTTAAAACGAGTAATAATAATTAATGATTTACATCGAAGTCGGGTCAAAGGGTCAAGGCACACTTTAGCGGAGAGTCGGAGTACCTTGACCCTCCGATAGATAAAATGCAACACACACATCGTCGTTATTATTATTATAATAATAATAATGTAACACATAATTTTGTTTTTGTTTATTTTTTTTTTTTTCCTTTTTTTTCCCTCAAATTTTGTCTTCGGTCCAGGCCCTACTTTGGACCGTAATTGACATCTGGAGGGAATTATTATGATTATTATTATTATTATTACTATTATTATTATTATTATTATATTGTAGTTGTTGTAGTTGTTTTTTTTTGTTTTTTTTTTTTTAAATATACCAAAATATTATATCTACTATATATATATAGCTAATAAAAGTTGACTCTTTCAATATAATAAATGTATAGGTTTGTACGTATAATTATTTTAATTAATTAATTAATTAAATAATTAATTAATTACGAAGTAATAATTATACGCACACACTTATTAATTAATAATTACTTAATTTGTTACGTGAAAGATATGTTTTTCGATTGTGTTTTTGACTAGAAGATACGCTTAATAAGTAAATAGTACAAGTTATTTTCTTTTTTTTTTTATTTAAAAAGAATTCTCCCGAAAAATATATTCACTCATTTTGTTTTTTCTTTCGTTTCTTCATATACATATATATATATAGATATATTTATTTATTTATAATATATATGTGCGTGTGTGTATATATTGTGTATATATGTGTATATAGTATATATGGTCTCGAAGATTTAGCAATGCATTTTTCTTTTTTTCTATAGTTTTTTTTTTTTTTATATTTTTTATGTTTATAATTTTTCTCTTTTTCTCCCCTTTTCTTTTTGTTGTTGTTGAAATTATTATTATTATTATTATTGTTATTATTATTATTATTTCTTGTTTTTTTTTAATCTTTAGCAAGACCATATGCACGACCAATACCATTAGGAAAATTGTTTATTGATATTATTTGAAATAAAAAAACAAAACAAAAAAAATAATACAACAAGTTCGATTAACAAATTGAAATTAATTTTTGAAAGAAATATTAGTCGTACGATATGGAAATAAATAAATAAATAAATAAATAAAACAAAAACAAAATAGATAAGAAAAATATATATTATTTTTCGAGAGAATTCGTCCATTACTTTTTTTTTTTTTAATTCGCATTTTATTACATTAGTGATATGTTTAGATTGATATGTATTAATTTATATTTTGTTTTCTCTTTTTTTTTTCTTTTTTTTTATTCGTTTTTTTTATATATATATTAGGTATATTTTTCTTACTTCATTTCGTTCCTCCATTTCTTTTTTCTTTTAACCGTAAAATTGAAAATAATAAATACGGTCGCACTTGTTTAACATTTCTTTTCCCTACCATTTTTTTCTCCCCTACTTCTTTTTGATTTTTATTTTTTTTTTACTTTCTGTGTGTTGAGCTTTCAGTTTTAAAATAAACTACCTTTCGTATCCTGAATAATATTTTATTTATGCGTACGATGTTGTTGTTGTTGTTGTTGTTGAATATTGTTTGTACCCATTTTTATAATCTTCAAAGGGAAAAGAAACTGTGTCAACTAAAAACGTTAACAGTCTCGTTTACTTTCATATTTTCAAATTTTAACTGTTGTAAAAAGATTTAGAAAAGATAGACAGAGAGATAGTGAGATGATCTTTTATATCCTTAGTTTACTTTTTTTCAAATAACAAAATTCCATAAATAATTTATCTCATTTCTTTTGTCATCACCTTTTTCTTTCTTTCTTTCTTTCTTTTGCACACTTTCTGTTTAACTTTGTTTTTTTCTTTTTTTTTTTTTTCTTACTTAGTTTCTCGTACAAACACACATACATACATGCATCATTTTCAGTATAATAATCTTTATCTATACCAAAGAAGATAAAACGTTACTTATTTTACTTGACACCAAAAAAATTTGATTCTTTCTGACCTATTTCATTTCATTTCAATTTTTTTTATTTTTTTTTTTTTTAAATAATTTTGATAAATCACATCGTACTGTTCCAGCAGTAACAACAATTCACTGTTAAAATTGGATTGCAACTATCACATTGGGATGCGTTTTCAAATCTCGTACTGTTTTTTTTTCTTTTTTTTTTCATTAAATTTAATAACAGACGAATGTAATTTTGTTTCAATCAAAAAAAAAATATATAAATTTGAATTAAATATATTATTCATTAAAAAGAAATATTCAAAGAGCACAGCTCCTAGGATTAATTATCAACAATGATAAATTGTTATAAACAAGGAAAACAATTAATTGATAATATTTGTTTAAATATAAATAAAATTACAAATGAATTCTCATTTTCATTATCATCATCATCCGTTCAATTAAACGCATCCTCTTTACAATAATAATAATAATAATAATTAAACGTGAGAGGTATGCGAATAAGAAAATAAGAATATAGGCACACAGGACAACGATCTTTCTTATCTAAAAAATGTTTCATCATCCCTCAAAATTTCATCAATTATTTTTTTGTAAATTTTCCACCCTTATTCTCGCATCCATTTTTTTTTTTTTGACTATTCAAATATATTCGTTGCGATTAAACATCGAATAGTAGCAGCAGCAGCTTGTGATTAAGTGATTAATTAATTATTAATATTTATATGTACACAATGAAAATAGGGAGAGAGAGAGAGAGAGAGAGAGAGAGGGAGAAAGAGAGAGAGAGAGAGAGATAGAGAAAATTAAATAAAATTAAATGAAATTAAAATAAAATTTGATAAATTTGTGCAATGATATTATCAATTATTTTCAACAAAAATATATTTCTAACAAAAATAGAAAAAATCTCAAATAATAATAATAATAACAATAATAATAATAATAATAATAATAAAAATAGAAGAAAGTTATGGTGAAATGATAAAAAGTGGGAAACGAGGTAGAATATAATAATAATGAATTAAAAATAATGAAATATCGACGTGATTAATATTTTACGATCCTAATCGTTTATATTGAATCATTATTTAGAATAATAGAGAGAGAGAGAGAAAAAAAATGTTAATAATAATAATAATAATAATAATAATAATAATCGATAGGATCGTAAAAATAAATCAACGACGATTTAATTATCCTTGATATAATCGTTGCCTTTTCAGTCGAGGAAGCCAGTCTTGACGAGCTTCTCGAGGAAGAATTTAACATCCCCTAATTCGGAATCTTTGATACCAAGTGATTTCAACATTCCAAGGTCACCGTTCTCAACTGCCATAAAAACTGAACGTAAGTGTTCCAAATCCGATCTCATCAGATGTAAAACTGCACCAAAATCTTCAATTGTTTGAGATTCTATATAACATATTATTATTTTATTATTATTTATTATATTTATTTATTTTATTGTTCAATGATTTAAGAATTAGATTTAATCTAAGAGATTAATATAATTTATTTTGTTTTTTTTGTTTTTTGAAGTAGTACGATCAAAAAATCAATATAAGAATTTGGATTGCGAATATTTGAATATTTGATTTTTTTGTTTTTTTTTTTTTTAATTATTAATAACAAATATATAAATTAATTTACCTGATAACGCAATGGCAACTTTGTCGACACCACCGAGAGGTTTAAGGGTATCTCGTGCTCTGTTACCAAATAATTTTTCGAGATAATTCGGTCCGTGACTCGCCAGTAATGACTGAAGGAAACTTGCCGTTTCTTCTACAGGTGGTCGTTTAGCTAAAAAAAAAAAAAAAACGTTCACAGAATGTATTTTAATATCTTTCTTACTCTTACACTTTTACAACCCTTTTTTTCACATTATTCTTTTTTTTATTATTATTGTTTTATCCTATAATTCAAATTTTGTAAATTTATTTTAATATTTTAGTTCTTCGAAATTAATTTGGGTTTTTTGTAATTTGATGTGTAGTATTGTATAAAAATTGAAATAATTTTTTTATTTGTGTATTTAATTTATTCTTTTGTTTTTTTTTAATGATTAAACGTTTTTAACATTTTTCTTTTATTTATTATTATTGTTTTATCCTACAATTCAAATTTTGTAAATTTATTTTTATATTTTAGTTCTTCGAAATTAATTTGGGTTTTTTGTAATTTGATGTGTAGTATTGTATAAAAATTGAAATAATTTTTTTATTTGTGTATTTATTTCATTCTTTGGTTTTTTTTTATGATTAAACGTTTTTAACATTATTCTTTTATTTATCATTACTGTTTTATCCTATAATTCAAATTTTGTAAGTTTATTTTTATATTTGAATTCTTTGAATTTAATTTGTTTTTTTTTTGTAATTTTTTATGGTACAATTGAAATAATTGAAATAATGGTTCTATTTATGTGTTTAATTTTTTTTTTTTATGATTATAAATTATATTTATTTATTTATTTTTCTAGATAAATAAATAACGTTGTTTTAAAAGAGTCAAGTATTTCCTAACACGAGTTAAACGTATCGATCGATCGAGTTCAAGAACAAACGCTTATGTGTGTGTCTCGTAATAAATAATAATAATAATAATAATAATAATAATAATAATAATAATAATAAATATAGATGGAAAAGTTCGGTGCCGGAAGCTTTTAGCTAAGGAACTACCTTCCTTTTCTAGGATTATATACGGTGATTGCACTTAATCGATCGTTAAACTTTATTTACGAAGAATTTATTAACTTTAATGAAAATATTTTAATCATTGTGTGTGTGTGTGTGTGTGTTCATTTAATATCAGTTATTTTTATTATTCAAGAAGTATAACACAATAAGTTAACAATTTAATTATAATTATTCAGTTTATTTTTAATCAATCTTATAATCAACTTTTATTTTCTCTCGTCAGATAATCGTCTAGATAATTAGATTTAGAAAATTGTGATTCTAATTGGATAGGTATAATACATGTAATAATTATTTTAATCAGTCTCATTATACTTTTTCTTTTATATTTTTATTCTTTAATAAGATAATCATCTACAAAGTAACGGATATAAAATCTCATTTAAATTTGTCGCGTTTATTTTAATCAAATTCTCATCAATTTGCCTTTTTATTTCTCTCTTTCACGCTTATTATTAGATAATCATCTCTAGATAGAGTTAGAATTAAAATTCAAATGTTATAATAGAAAAATAATTTGTTTTATTATCGATCAATCTGATCTCACATTTTTTTATTTTATTTTTTTATTTTTTTTTATTTTTCTAATACAATCATTTCACACGATTCGATTAAAATTGAGATAATCAAGATTAATTTGATTGTTGTCGTAAGTTTATATTTTAATGATCGTCCATATAAAATATTTCCTTTTAATACATTGATTAGATTGAAAACGTGGTTGAAGGAAGAAGAATGATCGCAAGTGTAAAAGAAGATTTAACGAAGGACGTAAAGAAACGAACTTGTATATGTGTGTATATGTATGTGTGTAAGTACATAAGTACAAGTGAACCACAGAATACTTATCCACTTATTCACGAGCACGATCGGTAGTTAGGAGCAATGTAGAGTTAGCCTTGTTCAACGATGAAACGTCGTCGTCGTCGTCGTCGTTTCGTTATTAAATAGTAACAATGACGCTTGACAAACAAGGGTCGATTTTTTTGGCCGTTATTGTTGCAAGATGATTCTTTTCTAATTTAAATATCGTATACAAATAATAACTAACAAACTTCTATCATAAATTTACGAATTATTTCGATCCTTCTAATCTCAAACTTTTCCATTCGACGATACCCACCCTCCCTTCTAATCGAACGAATATGATGTGCGAAAAAGAATACGTGAAATCGGTAAAGGAAGCTTAGCCTAACTGACGTCACGAAGTGGGATTTAAGTTATCCCCCCCCCCACTACCAGGAATACGATTGGCCTATAAGCGGGCCTTAAGTCACTCTCCCCCCCACCAGGAATACAATTGGCTTATAAAAAGCGGAACGATGTTGGGCCTCGTTGTTTTGTTCCTAGCACTTGATAATTATTTTATTTAACCTATGTTTGTTTAGATTGTTTTTAATTGAATTGAACAATGATTTAATTATTCTCGATTTACAGATAACCTACGTTACTGAAAAGATTTTTCAGGCCCAGGTTTACTGTAAAATATTTTATTTGAAGTGTTGAGAATCAAAGAGCTACGTTGAATAATTTTTATAACCGTCTGTACTTGTTGCATTTTTTACTGTAACCTGTTCTATAACCGATTCTTAATTTGCTATTTTTTTTTTTTTTTGTAGTTATTTAATTTTTCAGAGAAGGGAGATGGACCTGGTCCTGGTTAAATTTGGTGAATACAGAATTACCAAATCTTGCTTAGATTTAAAATTAAATTTTAAAACCCTCGTCGTTGTCTTTTGGGACGTAAAACATGTATATATATATATATATATATATATATATATANTATATATATCATCATATATTTACGTACGTACGTATGTAATTACGTACGTATATGCGTGTACGTTATAGAAGGCGCTCCCTCTTGCAAAATTACATACGATCGATCGTTCTCGCGATTTTAAAGGTGGGACGTGTATGAATAGACAATAATAATAATAATAATAACAATAACAATTTAATGAAATATATTTTACCTGCCGTGCAGAGTTTCGTATCTTCGTCATAACCGTTTCGACAATCCGGTGCACCGTCGCACAAATATTGTATCGAGATGCATGTACCATCGCCAGGACATTTAAACGGTTCGTAAGGACGACAAGCGTCGTCTGAAAATAAAAAAAAATATTAACAATTAAAATTTATTTATTCTTTTTATTTTTGTTCATTCATATTCTTTCTAATGTCTTTTTACTTGGGGTGGTGCAATCTTGTAATTCAACTCGAATTAGTTTTTTTCACAATGAAACGGTAAATGAAGTTTAATTTTTAACATTCCTTTTGTTTTAATTATACCCGAATGTTGATTACGTACGAACAGTTTATTTTGCAATGGTAAATTAAAAATTTTTTATTTTTTATTGCATTAAAACGATGATGTGTTTCAATTCTTTTGGTTTTTTAATAAAAACAAAAAGATAATATTAAAATTATCGATGAAAGTTTGATTTTTAATTTCTACAAACATTTCAAGATAATAGTAAAAGATTATTGCAACCCTTAAAAAAAAAAATCTTAGGATCTCGTTTGCGTTACGAACGGAAAGTCAAACTGTTCGTACGAGGGTGGTATAAAAAGATAAGATGATAAAATAACATCTTGTTTGAAAAAAAAAAAGAAAGAAATTAACTCACCTGAACTTTTGGAATTGAAATTGCCATAAAAACGGCTCAAATCGATCGCCACAACGGTATATGGAAAGACCGTCAGGGCGAGGCCGAGACCAAGAGCGGTCAAACTCGTGACCGATGAGGCTCTGCTTCTTGGCATTTTTTTTTTTTTTAATATTTTTTTCAAATAATATATTACGTCGATTAAATATAGGAATAATAAACGACGTTAAATCTTTATTTCCTTATTTATATTTGATTTGATTTAATTTGATTTCAGTTGAATTTGTGGTCCTTCAAATTCTTGTCCAGCTTTTGTAGAAATAAATCGGCACACTCTTCGTCAACGATAACCGAAGAGACACGATTATTATATATATATATATATATATTTTTTTTTTATTATTATTTCACCATTTACTCAATCCACTTCCTCTTCCTCACTCTTCCTCCTCCACCTCCTCCTCCTTCACCCCTCTTTCTTCTATTTTTTACTTTCCTTTGTTTTCTTCTTCTTTTATTACAAATATACGTTTATATTTGAATTATTTTGTCCTTTTAATTAATTATAATTAATGATATGTGTCTTATTCGTCGATCGTTAACGATAAATACACTTTAACCCCCGATGATTGTTATTTTTTTTTTTTGTAATTTAATTTAAACGCGTTGTATTTCTCTTCTTAAATCTTTTTGAGCTGGTCGCGCGACGCTCACAGCTGTCAACGATCGACTGGATGGTTGGTCGGTTGGTTCGCTGCTTCTGGATTGCGATTCTATCCTAGTTATATGTATATCAAACTATATATATATATATATATATCTATCTCCTCCTTCTCCTCCTCCTCCTCCTCTTCTTCCTCTTCTTCCTCTTTTTACTATACATTTTTACCTCTCTTTCTCTCTTACTTATCCTCCCTTCCGTGACGACCTTCCTTCCCCTATTTCTTCATTACACACCCTTCATATTTTTCTCCCCCTTTCAAGCTTAATGTCTGGTCAAGGGTCATGATGCGTGACACCAGGTATACATGGTTTAATATGGACGCACCTGCTTCGACCATACACACCCTAAGGGATGAAGAACAACGCATATCGTACGTCAAATTTCGCATACTCTTTTTTTTCTTCATCTACTCTCTGTTCATTTTCAAGAGTGGGGGAATTCAGTCAAGTCTTTTAGACCATTCACGAACAAGCTTACATTATATTCAACCAATGAACATCCTCGGCACCCAAGTTCTACCCCATGACACCCACGCATCCGCTGCTGCGCCTAGTCGCTCTATTCATTTCCAGCCCAACATCGATTTCGCATCCCTGTTTTCTCTTCCCCTACCTGTTATACCTCTACCCCTACCCCTACCCCTACCCTTTTCTCATCACCTTCCCTTCTCCACTTTTCTATTCTATTCTATTTTATTCTATTCTATTCTCTCTTCCCTCATTTGCTGTTACCTTTACCTTTACCTTTACCTTTACCTTTACCTTTCCCACCCCTTGTTATTTTACTCAATGTGCTATCATCCCACGAGACCTTCCCTGCCAAATTCCAATTCCTTTAACTTTCCATCCCCTTAATTTTACTCCCTATTCTCGTCTTTCTCTCTTTCTCTCTAAACAACCCTTAACTTCATTTTCCTTTTCTGTTTTCTTTTCTTTTCTTTTCTTTTTTTTTTTTTTTTTTTTATTTCTTTTTAGTTTTATTCGTTTACTTTCAATCCCACGCTTTTCTTTAACGAACCACACCGTTATTTTTCCGTAGAATTCAATTTACGATCGAGTTTCTACGATTATTATTTCAATGCAAATATTGATACTTTTCCTTCGATCGAAGTCTTTCATTGTAATAATTTTTTCTTTTTTTTTTTTTTTAATTTTTTTCTAAGAAAAGTATTGTACATTAAGTTAAGTATTTTTCTTTCCTATATCGCATTACTGTCATATTTCTAAGAAATGTACGATGATTAAAATCATTATTAATATTTCAATATTATTTATTGCAATATAAAAAAGAAATTATTAGAATTATAAAATATTTAAATATTTATGAACATTCATACAGGGTATATGCGTTTATCGACGAACATATCGTGATCTACTTTACCGACAGGGAATCATAAATACGATCGAAGTAACATCTATCGTAATTTTTCTGAATTACGTATTGAATATATCAAACAACACCATATTTAGTTGAATAAATAAACGTCAAGTATTATTTGTATGAACTATAATAAGGTCTAAAATATAGTGATTATACAGTGTAGTAATTAGTATTGTTAATTATAAACATAGGTGAACATATTTCTTTAGTTATTTTTTAATAGTATAACATAATTTACGTAGAAGATAAGATTACTTAATTACCGTTTGTCTGTGTTTACGTTTGGGAAATTCCCCAATTGTCAGTTGTAGAAAAAAAAATAAAAGAAAACATATAGGATCGGTCTATGATTAATATTACGTAGTATAAACATACACACACATTCATATATATACAAAACACGCGATTAGAATTTATTATGTGATCGTAAGTTGCAATCTGTATTGTAATAATGCAACTGAAAGATTATTTATAAAATAAGATTGATGATAATACGTTCGATGTTGTCCTACTGTTGTCTACGTTGACAATAGGAAGACAAATTTTCAAAATAAAAAACATGCATCATCGGTAGTTTTAAGTAATCAAGAACTGTCATTATGGTATAAACGTATAAAGAGAAAACACCCAGGTTTTCATTATGGAAGATTTGAAATACAAATTTTTGAGTTTTATCAACAAACAGGTAACATTTTTCATTGATTTATATAACTATTTAATAATATTTAAACAAATGTTTGTTCAAATTAATTATCCTTTTATTTCGGATATGTTCAATAAAATTTTTGAGGTTAAACATTGGTTTATATTGAGACAACTGATGATTGAATTAAAATTATAATATCGTTCATTTTTAATGAATTTTTGTAGAATACAGTGAAAGTTCCGATTATGGGCTTAAATCCAGCCTTGTTAGAAACGTCGGAACAAAAATGTGAAGATTTACAATCTGAAACTGGACAATCTACTGAAAGTGAACATATTCCAGATCAAGAAATATTAGAATCTATTGAGAAGATATATTTTAGAAAAGATGATGACTTTGATCCAAGTAGATACGAGTTAGAAAAGTTATTAAAAGTATTGCAATCAAAGGAAATAGAAAAGCGTTATAAGAAACTTAAACAACAATATCAAGTTGTATCAAAGAAAGTATTGCAGCTGATTCTACAAAAACAAAGTGCTTACGAAAAGGAATTTGATAATATCTTAGTCATACAGAATCAACTTCAAAATATGCTGGCGATATGCAGAATGGGAAGACATGATCTGAAAGTAGCTAAGGAACAATTTACTAAAGCCATTTTAGGAATATTGGCCAATTATAAGAAACGCCAGGATATTGAGAAATTGTTAAAAAATGTACATATCATCAAAAATTTTGTAAGTATATTATTGTCTTTATTTAATGACATTTATCTAATCAATGAAATTAAGTTGATATCATTTGTTAAATATATTTGTTTTAGCAACGCATGGGAGATCAATTGGAGGAACTTCTGAGCAATAAAAATTATCCTGGTGCAATTTCACTTTTATTAAAATGTCAACGTGATGCACAAACTTACAAACACTTTAAATGCATCGCAGCTTTGAATGGAAAGTTGCAAAATATTTTGGAACAAACTGAGAAGACTTTAGATGATACACTTTCTAAAATGTGCACGCACTTTGATGAAACTGTATATACATCGATACAAGAAGCTTACATGTTATTAGGAAAAGCAGAAAATGCTGTAGATCAAACGAATTTGCATTTTACTGCTGCCATTCATAATACAGCGTTCTCTGTTATTCATTCGTTCACGGAAGAAGATACGCAGAAACATTATATACAATTATGTCAATCTGTACCTAAAGATAAATCTGTAGTATGCTTGAGAGAACTTTGTACATCCCTGTGGAACATACTAATCTCTTATTGTCGAGTTATTTGTTGGCATACTGTACATGAGAGTAGTAAAAAGAATCAATCCGAGGAAAAGGATTTTGAAAAAATTATTAGTAATCAATATGCCAAACATAAATTAGATTTAAGTAGTATGATGCGAATGTGGTCTGAGGTAGAAGCTGAAATATCCATGTATTTATCAAACGCTGACTTGGTTTATATTAAATTCGAACAGTATGTTCACATTTTGGGAATAGTTAATCGGTAATGAAATATTTATTCTTATATATGTATAAACATTTATTATTTAAGATGTATAAAACATTTACAAAATTACTTTTTATTACAGATTGATGGAACTTGGAGAATTGTCTGGTTATAAGTTTGAAAGGTTACAAGAATTCATGCAGAAACAATCACAATTATATTTTTCACATTACAACTTGTCTCGTTTGGATGAACTTAGAATATTTCTTGAAAACGATGGATGGGAATTGTGTCCTGTTAAACCTAATTTCGTGGCAACTCAATTACAAGAATTTAAAAGTTTGAAACCAATATTAAACAAATCTAAAGTATGCAATGGTTTGGATACTTCGATCATCAGTGAAACTGAAACCTCGATAGATATTGAATTGTTATTACAAAAATATTTAGAATATGGTTCATCACCTTTCTCTGTTGGACTCGATGATACAGTTGAAGAAGATATTTCTGCACGTTACAAGGTTTGTTAAATTAATTAATATATGTTTTATAAAATATTTGAATAATTATGATATTGTTTAGGATGACGTATCCGATGATTCCGACGATGATATATTTGATGAAATAAATCATGAATACGTCGATGAATCGGAACACACTAAAGTTAATAAAAAGAAACATAAACATAAACATAACGAACCAATAGTTACGAATACAACTCTGACCATATTGAGGGTGTGCGGAAAATATTTGCAAATGTCCAGGCTTTTAAGATCCGTTGCAGTAGCTGTTACTAAAAGCATGATACAATTTTTTGAAATTTATTTCTACACAGTACATCTATTTTTCACCGCAGATCTTGTAAGTTTATTTTATATACATTTTTTATTTGTTTAATTTAATATAAAAATAATTTTATAAAAAATGTATTATATTTTTTCAGCAAATAAGCAGTGAAATTTTGTACAGTCCAAGATTAAAATTATCACTTAATCGTATGAAAGATAACTTCATAGTCAGTGAAACTGAAACGGATGATAATGCGAGTTCAAATTGTAATAATAAAGTGAGACAACCGCATTTGTCTTCTAGTGTCATCTTGTCTCAACCTGACAAACTTTATGGATTAACTGAACGTATTGTAGCTGTTGAATCATTAATATTTTTAGGACAACAATACGAAAACTTAAAAACTTATTTAGAACATCTCCTTGGTAGTAGTCCGCAAAGAGGATTTTTGCATCCTTTTTATACG